TTAAATTGTGAACACCTGGTTTACAAGAGGCCACGGATGATAGTGGAAACCCAAAATCCCTTTGTAGGGTCCCTGCATGGGTTAAGCCTCCTGAGACTCTCCTCTGAGCTACAGGGATATGAGTAGCCTTGCTACCAGAGCATTATAGAGTTAATTATGGCAGCTGTATAGGTTAAAATGCAATACCTTACCATGTGGTCTCCCTTTTGACCCATTTTAAAGTTGTTTTTAATATTTTCTGCTTTCATTTCCTTTGAGGTTTCTCTGTTTTGTCTAGTCATTGTTGTTTTTTTGTTTGTTCCTGTTTGTGTTTTGTGTGATGTTCTATATATGAAATCTAGGAGAGGTAAGTCTAGAGAGAAAAAAAAATTAAGATGACTCTTCCTAAGATTAAATATATATCTATTAATCATTTTATTGGGGGGCTCTTACAAATCAAAATGAAAATCTTTTTAAAAATCTATAGAGACTAGTAACTGGGTTAATAATTACCTATCGGCATGGCAGGGGGAGAAATGGGATGCTAACAATAAGTACAAGAAGAAAATGTTTTGAAACTGATTGTAGTGATGATTGCATCTTAATATGATTGAAAGGTTAAATTGTATGATGTGTGAAGCATATGCCAATGTTGTTGTTGGTAGATGGCATTCGGTTCCGGCCCATGGGACCCCATGCACAACAGAAGGAAATGCTGCCCAGAAAACTATTAGGGGAAAAATACTAGTTTCAGAAATCTCCAAAGGCAGTTCTAACCCGTCCTACTGGTGCTCTAGGAGTCGAATGGACTCCATAACAGATAGCTTGGTTTACGTTTTCTTGCTGGGCCTCAGTTTACTTGTCTATCAAAGTGGGTTGGTGATGGCACAGGTACTGGGGATGACATTGGTGCCAGGTGGTTTCCACAAAGGCAGGGGAAAGCTACTAACTGCAGAGAATAGGAGGCTGGGAGCAGGGATTCCCCAGACCCTCTTCAAAGTCTGGGGAGTATTATTATTTCTTCTGCTCTGCCCAGATGCTGGGATTCAAACCCCAAAGGGATTGGAAAGCAAGGGGAGAAGCGGGCATGGTGGAGCTGGCAAGGGAAACCAGGACCTATCTTCACCTCAAAGCCCCCTTCAATGTCGCCACTCAGAGCCCCTTTTGTTCTTCCTGAATCAGTGGACTTTTCTCCAGCCAGGAGCCCCTGCCCCCGCTAGCTCTGTAAGTGGCTCTCTTTTCCCATAAGCTCCTAATAGTGGCTGTAAATAATTCCCAGCTTGAGGTCTTTTTAGCTTTTGCTACATCTTCTCATTTTCAATATGTTCCATGAGAGCTTACATTCTGCATACTCTATTTTCAGAAGGCTAGGGTTACAGTGAAAGCACCCAATCCATTCTGAGTCCCCCTAGGACATTAAGCCTGCATTGAATTCCTTCTGCCTGTTCGCCTGCAATGTGAATAAGCCTGTCCTCAAGCCAAGTGTATTAGAAAGTGGATTGCATCCACTCCCCCAGCCAACTGAGGGTGGAGGGCAGAATTTCTCCCTCAGGGTCTTGCCTAGGTGTGTCCTTGTTGCAAATGGAGTATTAGAGTCCTAAGGTTGTGAGTCATATCCTGACTGCCCTAGATGGAGGGCCCTAAACCAATCTTGTAAGTTCTTCTGTTTAGCATAATGTACTTGTCCCAATGATGGTCCCAATCCATCTTCTGTGGCCCTGCCTGCAACTGTGATGCACTGATCTGCCACCAATCATGGTTTTGTGCCAGTGTCCGTTGCCCTCCTGCGTCCTTTAAGTGGCTGGTTCTCTGTAAATCCTTGGACTGGATGCTGAGATGGTCTCTCTCACCCGGATGACTTCTTTGTCTATGTCCTACCGTAGTCCTGTTTAAGATAAGGTGACCAGACATCCTGCTTTTGGCGGGACAGTCCCTATTTTTAACAATTTTTCCTGCATCCTGCGGCACTTTATAAAAGTCCTGATTTTTGGAAAGAATGCACAACAAGCTGGAGTATACGGGTTTTCGGCTGTCATGTGGCTATTTCGCCAGGATATGAGTTTTATCATTGGTGTCCCGCTTTACCAATGTTCAAATCTGGTCACCTTAGTTGAAGACTTAATGAATGTGTCTCTATAAATTATATTTGAGATATGGGGTCCCTTTCATCCCCTGCAATAACATATTCCACATAATGGTGGAGCTCATCATTTGCTGACGTTGTTTTCAGATTTTACTCGCAGGTGCTCAATATCATGATTTAAAAAGATAGCAATAATAAAAGGCAGACTGAAATCCAAAAAGAAACAACAAAAAAAGAGGTATTCAGCTTAACGCCAGAACCGTTGACCATGGGGTCTTTGGGAAGAAAGCATGCAAGTCGGGGACTAACGAGCTTCCCAACCCTTCGCTGGGCCTTTCTGAAGGACCCAGGACATTTCATTGTTTCATTCAGTGAACGTGCTTCTTTCGGTTGGGAGTCTCCCAAGGGCCTGGGACGCTGAGGCAAAGAGAAAAACAAACGTTGCTCCCGATGGCTAGTGGAGAAAGGGACAAAAGGGTCAATATGTGTGCCAGACAATGAAAGAAGCTGTAGTCATCAGTGCTTTGAAGGAAATAAAACCAAGGGAGGTGACAGAAAGTCACACAGGGTGGGGGTAGGTTAGATAGGGAAGGAAGCCTTATTTTGGAAGTGACAGCTGGCGGTTGGGTTGAGACAGACAGGAAGAGAAAGGAGTAACAAGCCACCCAAAGAAACAAGACCACCAAACATGTAGGGCAGCAAAGAAGCAAGACCCCAACCCCAAACCAAACCAGACCCCCACTGTGAGTGGATTCTGCTTCAAAGCAACCCGGCAGGACAGGGTAGAACTGCCTATGGGGTTTCCAAGGCTGCGCATCTTTATGGAAACAAGACTCTCATCTTGCTCTTTCAGAGCAGCTTCTGGCCTTGCCAGTCTTTTGGCTAGCAACCCAAAGCCTAACCCACCATACCACCAGGGTTTCTTGAAACAAGCCCTAAACCAGAAAAAGCAAACCCGATGCCATCTGGTTGATTCTGACTCACTGGGCTAAGTGGAATTGCTTTTTAGGTTTTCCAAGACCGTAAATCTTTACAGGGGCACACAACCTCATCTTTTCCCAAGGAGTGACTGGTGGATTAGCCTAACGCCTAACATAGCATCACTACAGTGCCGGGGAAGGAAATCCACCTTCCAGGTCCCCTAGTCTTTTCTTGGGACCATCCTGTAGGTTTATTTTGAGAGTAGGGGGCCTTAGATTTTGTTCCACAATGTGAGTGGGTAGAAGATGCTCTGGTGGTGTAATGGGTCACATGTTGGGCTGCTAACTTCAAGGTTAGTAGTTTGAATGCACCAGCTGTTCCTCGGGAGAAAGATGAGGCCCTTTACTCCCAAGATTTGCAGTCTTGGAGATCCAAAGGTATTGGCCCTATTCCACTCTGCCCCATCGGGTCGCTAAGAGCCAGAATTGACTTGATGGAAGTGAATTTGGTTTGGATGGTGGGTGGGTAGAGGGGCGCGCTCTAGTGGTGATAAGGGGCACACGTCACCTCATGTCTAGGGGCTAAATCCTCCTCTTCCGCATTTACTCATTCCACACATATTTAAGGAGTACTGCGAGGATTCCAAGGAGTATTCTGGATGCCGGCGTGGAGCTGACACCCCAGGGCAGGGGACCATTTCTAGCCCCCACCTCATATCTGTCCTACTATTCCATAGTTAAACTGGCTTTCCTCTGCTCCAGCTGCGCGGTGGCAGGTCCAGGTCTTTGCATTTGCTGTTTCCTCCCTGGGGCAGGCTCCTTTACCCTGATGAAAGAAAGTCAGGTCTCAACTCAAATGTCACCCGCTAGGAAAGGGGTGAATTTATCTTACTTGTTGAGGTGTGGCCTATTCCTCAAAATGAAATGTAAGCACCATGAAAGTACTTTTTCCTGGATTTCCTCACCACAGCACCAGGAATGACACAATGGTTAAACATTTGGCTGCTAACCGAAAGGGCTGCGGTTTCAACCCACAAACTGCTCCACAGGAGAAAGGCCGGGCAATCTGTTTCTGTGAAGATTTGCAGAAACGGTAAATCTTTAGGAAGACAACACTCGGTCCCATGGGTCCTGAGTCTGAATCAACGAGATGACGCACAACAAACACTAAAGAGGGTGCTGCAAACTGCTCATGTGGTCGGCGGCAAATTAACAGGGTTGCAGCGGCAGTCCAGAGGTACCTCGGAAGACAGGCCTGGCAATCTACTTTTGATAAACCAGTCACTGAAAACTCTCTGAAGGATAGTTCTACTTTGACAGGTGCGTAGTTCAACTGCTAAAACTATGCTCGTGTCTGCTCTCTCTCTAACATACACCCCACCAGAGCAGGGGGTTCACCATTCTCTGCCCTCAAGAAACACTGACTGGACGGACTTCTACCTGTGCCTGCTTTTTCTCCCGCCGAACTTGCGCCACCTTCTTCCAAAGGGGATAGAGGACTTCGGAGGGGGGTGACCTCAGGCGGCCCGGCCCAGGAGTCCGAGCTCCGAGCCATCCGAGCAGCTGTGGAGGCCGCGGGAGCTTCTGGGTGAGCGCGCCACGGGCCAGAGGCTGGAGGCGCTTCCCGAAAGAATCGCGCCCGGAAGGGGGCGGACCCGCGCCCGGAAGGGGGCGGACCCGTCCCAGGAGACAGCTCACATGACTCACTCTGGTACCGCCCACCTCCTCGGGGGCGGGGCGTCTGAGTGGGCGGGGCGCATGCAAATAGTCCCGGGGTTTGGGCCAATCGCGGTACGCGCCGGAGTCCGGACCCGGGGATCCGGACGCTACCTCGCGCGCAGGCTCGCGCCGCGGCCGCCCGGAGTTTTTGCCAGCGGCACCGCGGGCCTGCGAGCTGGAGTTGCAGCTGCTTCCTCGACCTCCGGCTCGTCCTTTGCGGCCGGCCAGGTCAGGCCGGGCCCGCGCAGCGGCCAGGCGGCGGCTGTCCCAGGCGCAGGCGGACGTGAGGCAGGGGTGGGGGCCGCTGTCGGTGCAGACGCCCGGGCGGCCCGCGACTCCGCAACGTGCTCCATGCATCCGGAGCCCGCCCCGCCCCCGAGCAACAACAGTCCCGAGCTTCCCCTCAGCGGCGGCAGCACCACCAGCGGCAGCCGCCGGAGCCGCCGCCGCAGCGGGGACGGGGAGCCCCCGGGGTCTCCGCCGCCGCCGCCCGCCGTCACCTACCCGGACTGGATCGGCCAGAGCTACTCCGAGGTGATGAGCCTCAACGAGCACTCGATGCAGGCGCTGTCCTGGCGCAAGCTCTACTTGAGCCGTGCCAAGCTCAAAGCCTCCAGCCGGACCTCGGCTCTGCTCTCCGGCTTCGCCATGGTGAGCGCGGCCGCCCTGCCCTGCCCTGCCCCCTCCGGCCTGGCCCAGCCTGGCCCGCGCCACCCCGCCGGGGCCCAAAGGGGACAGGCCGGGCGGGCTGGGGGAGAAGCGGACAACTGGGGGAAGGCTATCGATGCAGGAGGCCAGATGTGTGTGATAACAAGTGGCACCCGATGTAGGAGATGAGGGGTGACAAATCCATACAGAGGTCCGAGGTTGGGTGGCTCAGGTGCCTCTGGAAGGGGGAGCTTGAGGCAGCAAGCAGGGAGGAACACGGAGGGACCTCCGAAGTTAGATCTGTCAGAAGCCCCGATGTGTTTCGGGGCCAGGAAGGTCTCAGAAGGTCCGACCCACCTGGAGACAGGTGCCCAGAAGTGCAGATGGAGAGCCCCCAGCTACCTTCCTCACACCCCCACACCTGAGGCCAGCAAGCATTGCCCTGTTCTTAGAAGCTAATTAGCTACTGGGGATTTCCCAGCATCCTTTCTCCCTTCAAAAAGACTCTGCCTGGGGGTGGGGGGGTTTGACAGAGCTCCCCGCTCAAACTCACCACGGAGTCACAGCGTGTGGGGGAGGAGTGGTGGGACTTGCTTCTCCTAAGTGGGCTCTGAATTGATTTATGGAGAAGGCACTTCTCCACCCCATGGCCTCACCAGCTGGGGTGAGAACTGCCCTGTCAGTCTCCGTCCGTCTCCCCCACCCCACCCCCATGCAGCAGATGGGCCCCAAAAGTGACCCTATGGTTATCGTCAGGCTAGGAGTCTGTGGTGCCCCACATAACGAGTGACCTCAGCCTGCTTGGTTGGGGTCTGTGGCGGGTGGAGGCGCACCCAGGCCTGCCCCAGGAGGGTGTGGCTGCACCACTTGTGTTTTCTTGGGAAGGGAGTGTGTCTGGGTCCATTTTAAAAACCTTGGTGAGCCTACAACAGGGGAAAGCTGGGAGGTTGGGGGTTCTCCTAGCTCGGACACGGACTGCCTGTGTGACGGTCAACCGCTTACCCTCTCTGGGCCTTGATTTCTAAATAGGTAAATGAAAGTTGTGACCCAGCAGTTAGGAGCCTTGATGGTGCAGTGACTTAAGCATTGGGCCGCTAACTGCAAGGCAAGGTCCTCAGCTGGAACTCCCCCAGCTGCTGTGCTGAAGAAAGATGCGGTAGCTCTTTCATGCCTGGAAGCTCTTGTGACCCCGAAGGATAAGGTGACCAGACGTCCTGCTTTTGGTGGGACAGTCCCGATTTTTAACAATTTTTCCTGCGTCCCGCGGTGTTTTAAAAAAGCCCCGATTTTTGGAAAGAATGCACGACAAGCTAGGGTATATGATTTTCGGCTGCCATTTGGCTATTTCGCCAGGATATGATTTTTATCAATGGTGTCCTACTTTACCAATGTTAAAATCTGGTCACCTTACCGAAGGAGCCTCAACTCTTAGGCACTTGCTTGCCAAGCAAAAGGTCAGCAGTTCAAACCTACCCACCAATCCCCCAAACCAAAGACAAGGCCTGCCACTCCTGTCAAGGTTTACGATTGATTTCAGACTTCCTGCGAGGATTGCTTTGAGTTGGGAACGACTAGATGGGAACGACTAGATGGCGGTGGGTTTGCTTTGGGGGTTTGATACTTAAAAGTGTGCCTTGGTGTCACATTGGTTAAATATTCACCTGCAGTCCAAACCCACCCTTCGGCTTAGCAGGAGGCAAACCTGGCAATCTGCTCCCAGAATGGTGTCTGTCTGGGAAACCCGGGGTGTGGGGGGTGGGGTGGGGGTTGACTTTGTCCCACGGGGCCACAATGCACAGGAACCGACTCCAGGGCAGCTAACAACAACTAATTTTTCCACCTTTGTGAAAAAGAAGCCACACTGTAGAATGATGGCCTTGTCATGAAATGCACTTGGAAGAACGTTCTGTGGTTAGTAACTCTCTCAAAGAGACTGGTATTTGGTGTTTGAAAAGTACTTCTGCACCCAGGCTGGAAGTGGAGGGAGTGCCCGCTCGAGCATGCGTCGGAAGGAAGCGGCTCTCTAGTTTTTAGTGTAGATCCATCCCATCCCAGTCTCACATCCTCGCTGGCTCTGACTCCGTGCTCAGTGTGCTAGGCGCCGACTCCTCAGCCAGCCTTGGAGGTGATGTTGGCAGGTGACTTTCTCCAGCTCATGCAGCTGATTCTGGCAGAGGCAGGATTTGAACCCGCCCCGGTAGGCCGGCCAGCAGAACCCCAACACCTCAATGCCTGGACCCTGCTTTGTGGTGGACTGAGCTCTGGTGGATGTCCAGCCACAGACTTATTGGGCCTGAGCCCAAAGAAGGAGACATAAGACAAAGTTTCTTTTAAGCAAAACTAAAAGTGATGATTCAGGGGAAAGGAGAGGAGAGGTGGGTGACCCCAGTGATGGTCAGCCTTTCACTGCAGTTCTGAGATGGACATGGTGGGAGGTCACATCCCCTTTGTGTTGGGGTCACAGATTCAGAGCAGATCAGGTGGAGGACATTTCTGGCCCTTTCAGTTCTCCCTTCCGTTTGGAGCCCCCAGGGGCCTCAGTGTCCAGCGTCATCCCTCTCTTCCTCTTGCTAAAAACAGTGTCGAAAAGTCAGGAGGTCCAGGCACCAAGTGGCACTAGACGGGGGCCTTGACCTACCCAAACTGTGCTTTAGGAAGCTTGTTTTCCCCACAGGGAAGACCACTAGTTCTGCTGATGGAGCCCCAAAGTTCTGCAGACAGGGAAGGGCTGAACCCAAGTTCAGGAGTCCAGGAGGAGCACTTACAACTGGGTAACTGCGTTTGTGCCATGAGGCTGGAAATCCCAGGATGAGATGGGATGTGGAGGAAGAGGGCAGCGGGGCCTGTTTGACCGTGCTCAGCTCCCAGCACAGACACCCAGCCTGTGGGTGAGCTTCAGAGGGGAAGGGGTGCTGGGTAGTCCGGCACCATGGAGACGAGTTTCCTGGAGTACTCTCCTTTGGCCCATGAGTCAGCACAACTGCTTCCTGCCCCCAAAGGGCTTCCTTCCAAGAGCCCTGGAAAACCCAAGTGGCTGAGTGCCCCTTCAACTGGGGCATGGCAAGGATGCCAATGGGGGGGGTGTGGTCTTCCAAAAAGCTGGGATTGGGCATCCCCTTCGGGGGCACCGGGAACTTAAGGACAGACCTGTATGGCCGGGTAATTTGCCTTTACCATACGGGCTAGTTTTCTCATCTGCACAAATGAGAGGACCTGCCACCTCATCTCCCCCAGGCTTGCAGGAGGGTTCATCAGGGGCCTGGGAAGGGTTGAGAAATGGAGGGGGTCTGATGACATACACCTTGATCTGCTGACAAGACTCCCACCTGCTCCTGCCACTGTTTCTAGTAACAACAGGCCTTGGCTGAGCTCAGCGTCCCAGCTCCAACATCAGATGCAAAATAAGCATTCCTGGATGTAGGATATGGTCACCATTAGATAAGTGTC